CGAGAGTGCGACGAGTATACACGTAACGACCTGCAGGGCGAGCGGCCTCGGCCCCGGCCGCACTGCTAATACCTAGGATATAATCTTAATGATGCTCGACTCGCGCCATGGTCTGTCTCCCTGGGGCAAGGCTGTTGGCCGAGGCGCAGGAGGAGGCATTTGCCGCGCCGGGACTACTTCGTAGAAGGGCGTTGGAGGACGAGGGATCTTGCTAAGCAAGCTCCAGGAACGCCAGCAAGCGGCGCATGGCACACTCTGCACGACAGCCGTCCGACCATGCGATGCGATGCGACGCGATGCGATGCGACAAGACGGGACACGGCGAGATGCCACGATGCCGCGATGCGTTGCGCGCTGACCAGGAGACGAGCGAGCCACCATGGAGCCACCCGGCGCCGGCGCCGACGACAGCAAGAACGCACGACCCACACTCGCAGGACTTTGCTCCCTTTATTATCCCTTGGGCGACCCGGTCAGCGAGCGGGAACCGGGTCTCACCCCGCCCCAGGCTGCATGCTACGAGTACAAGCTTTCGGAGCAGCGCGCAACGCGAATTCCTCACGATGGAGCGCACCGCCGCTCGTACGGGGCGCGGCTGGATCTCGGCGCGCGCGGCCATCCATCGCTGGCAAGTCTTGACGACGTTGGACGCACCGACCGAATCGTCCGTGGCGGGAGGATGGCGTGCAAACCAGGCGTGGGATGGGTGGTGGTCCAGCTGCATCACGGGGGCGATGCACCGGGGGTGGCAGGCTGAAGTGGAAGCCGAACCCCTGTCACAGATTTGCTCGACTGCCGTTGTACCGCAGGGGTCCGCTGCTATCGTGTCACCGGTGACGGCGAGCCCGGCGCTGTTAGCGCCTGACGGCGGGGGGACGAGGGCGGTGCGGGAGGACCAAAACGCAAACCGGATCCACGACAAGGCGCCCGCCCACGCACCCACGGCATCCATCCACACCACCGCCAGAGGGGAGGGGCCACTCCCAATGGCGAGGCCGCAACCATGGCATGGGCACGGGCGTGGCATGGGACGCCGGGCGGGAGCCTCTGCCACGGCGGCGCCTGACGGAGGGCCAAGAGGCCAGAGGCGGCTTCATCGTCCGGACAGGAGCCGATGCGAAGGGCGGACGAGGCAGGATCTATATACGTGTATGGCCGGATCGAGGAAACACCAGAAAGCAACTCCATGGACAAAGCCCAGGGTGCGCGCGGAGCCAGCCAGCTGCATGTGCAAAGTACGAGTAGCGAGGCGGTCCTTTTTGGGGCGGCGGCTTCTACGGGACACGAAGCGCGCACACACGGGGACAGGTGGGCTATGAAGTACTCAGAAAGCATCCCCTTTGAAGTCTTCGACCTCAGTCCTGGCCACTTGGCGACGATTTCTGGCTATGCCCGGCGTCACAAATGTCGCTGGTCCGGGGGTCGTGAAGACGGCGATGCGACGAGTGACCCGGCGCGCGCTTGTGCCCTGCCTGCAGAGCTCTGGCTGCGAAGAAGCGCCGTGGGCAATCGTCAATGAGGTGTTTCGACCGCCGACTGCTGGTGCTTGCTGCTCTCGCTCCTTAGGCTCACACCCCCGTCTGGTGCTCAAGGCATCTCGTCACCACGGCAAGCCCCCGGGCCAGCTTACCGCGCGCCCTGGGACTGGGCTGCTGTTTCTTCAAGTTGCCCGCACGAAGCGCCATGATCGCAGCAGGCTGCTCCATACGCCCAAGCAGAATTTGCGGGCAAGCATGCGAGCCTCTACGCATCGTCTCTACTCAGTCGTAATTACAGAAAGGATCACGCTTGATGCTCGGTCCGTCGAGCCATCTGGCGGCATGCCCGCGCCAGCGCTCGCAGGCACTACATGGGCGCCAGCACAGCCAGCGTCAGCGCCAGCGCCAACACGCTGTCGTCCTCCCCAGAGGCTGATTTAGTAGTGATGTGCTGTTCGCACGGACAGAAAAGTCTATCCGCGCAGGTATTCCGCATACAGTTTTGCTCTCTTAGTCAATCCCCGTACCTTCACAGCCTGCGATACATCAATTAGAAGCGCAGGCTTGGGCCCGCGTGGGGATCCCGCACATCTCAAATAGCAGCGATAGCAGCAACGGCAGCAACGCATCAGTAGCGGCAGCAACAGGAGGCGGCTCGCCGCTGCCGTCGAATGCCTGGACAATAAAAATGGCTGGCGAGCGCCCTGGAAGAACCAGGAACGTTGGTGCGACTGGACGTTTTTGCCTGTGCGAATAGCAAATTTTCAACAAATACCAGAAAGTATGGCACATTTGCAGTCCACCTCCATCGCAGCCGCTTCCTTGCTCACATGCTGCTCACCATCGTCGACGCGACACCAGCGCGGCTTGACAGAGGTGTCTTCTTCGTGCGTCTCCTTTTCTTTCGATCGTCATCAGCAGCGAGTTCCTGGCAGTAAAATGCCTGCAATGCGCGCGGTTTGCGTTTCAGCCAGCCTGACCTTGAACCGCCAGATGGACCGGGAGCTGGATGCGATCAGGCTCTGGGCGCGGTGTCCGGCGCACGCCCCCCTCCTGGTTCATACCTACTCCTCTCCCCCTCCCCCTCCCCTCCTCACCTCACGTTTCCCATCCATCCATCCAGCCATCCACCCATACACCCATCCAGCCCATCCCACGCACCCCAATCACGGGGCAGGCTTCCCTCGCACCAGGCCGACAGAACCTTATAGCATACCCAACCACAGCATTCAACTGGGCCGCCGGCTCGACCAGTGCTTTACCTACCTTGGAGTCACCCTTAGCTGTGAATGCCGAGGGGGAAAAGAGGCACGGGTATGCCAGGCAGGTACTCGGGGTAAGAAGGTTTGAACCTGGAGGCCGTAGTCACACTTTGGGCCAAAGCAGGCAGAGATCAAGCAAGGCAGGCAGGCAGGCGGGTGGAGGTGTGAGTGAGCGAATGCATCGCTCGCGCGCCACGCCCGGTGGATGCGCTGAGCTTGTGCCTCGTACGAAGTACACGGCCACCCTTGACGGTGCCGTGTGGGCGTGCCAAGGTACCTTGGTGGCAACCTGAAGTTGGCACCCAGGAGGGAGGCGATTGCTTGCTTGCTTGCTTGCTTGCTTGCTTGCTTGGGATGCTCCCTTGATAAGGCGGCCGACTGCCTGGATGGCCATGCTAGAGGTGTCGGTATCTAGACCTGTGCCGCAGCCCGTCCGTCTCATCCCTTTTTGAGTTGCCTCAAACGTTTGGTGCTAGGTACTTCGTAGCATGTGGACAGGCCGACCCTGCTGAGGTACCTACCTCTGTTGGCGGCAGTCGCAGCTGTCCAGTCCGGCTGCTGCTCTGGAGGCGCCAGGCAGGGCCCCAGCAGCATCCACTTCACCTGCAGTGGGTAGGAGTCAATTTCCAGCTTGTTATTTGGGCAGAGGTACCTTACCACCACGGCGGCAGCCATGGGGCCTTGGGCGGCCCAGCCCAGCCCAGCCCAGCCCACGAGGTCGGGTGAGGTGGGTACCTTACCTTGCCCGCCTTGCCTTGCCTGGCGTCCATTTGCCTTGCTCGATCCAGTGGCCCAGCCCAGCCCAGCCCAGCGGCAGCGCCTCCCGTCAACCACCTACCGTACCAGCTAGGTACGGGCACCCACCCGGCGGGCGGCGGCAGCAGCAGCAGCACCACCACCAGCGGCACCAGCAGACCACCCCGGGCCATCACTGCTGCCAGCATCTCCCATCTCCCACCTCACGCCCACTCCCACTCCCAGGGCTGCCCACCACTGCACCCACCATCACCCATCACCCATCGCCCGTCACCCACCTACCACCCTCCACCCTCCACCACCACCACTACCACCACTCCCAGCGACACCTGGTCCCGGGGCTCCACTGGGCCCTGGCTTGTCCTTGTCCACCCACCCCCGGCCACCGTCCCGCTCCACCGCCCGGGTCCCTCACCTCTGCTCTGCTCTCGCTCTCCCATCCATTCTTCCTCCCGCCCACTCCACTCTCTTCCTCGCCTTGTCTTAGGCGCGCCCGCACCTCTCTCTGCTGCCATCAACTTCCCTCACAACCACCAGCCGAGTCGACTTCCACCGCCTCGCCTCGCTTCCACCCCGACCCGACCGCCGGAACCACCTCCCTCCGCGCGACCTCGACGCAGTCGACGACACTTTCGTTCACTTCAACCCAGGCATCCGTCTCCATTTCTTCCACCCCCCAGCCCTCTCGTTGGCGACCCGGGTTTCTCCCACGGCCACCACCGCCCAGGCGCTCCCCCGGCTCGAGCCATTCCGCAACCCAACGGGGACGATCACGGCTCGGCCACCACAACAGACATCACGACCGACGCTGCCCGCCCGCCGACTTCTGCGAACACCTGCGACGGTCATTGCACCTCGACTCCTGCTGCGTGCCGAATGGTGCCGATTACCAGGTACGGACACCAATCCTCGGCCTGGCGGCACGACAATGGGACGCTGAGCGACTGAACACCTCGCACAATAGATCGTTTCACATTGGTTCATCGGGCACCGCTGCGCCGTCCGCGCCGTCCCTGCACCAAAATCATCGGCCACTGGCCTCGTCTGTTTCCAGCGGCTGCTCTACGCCCCTCACGTCAATCGACATCGAGTTTGCCTCGTCCTGCCCGACTGCCGCCTAGCTCCCCAACCAGTGCCGAACAGCACTACGTCCCGCCCACCGCGTCGCTCGCAGCCCACGGCGGGCCTCTTGAATAGAGTTTCAGCAGAGGCAAACCTAACGACTTTCATGGACGATACGTCGCGCTTCTAGACTAGTCGACTAATCCTTTTCCCTCGTTCCTCGGAACGCGTCGACTGTTCACAGCGCTTGCACTTCTCTCGTTGCCGCTTCCGTTGTCTACGCCCTAGCCTTTGGTTTGTTCGTCTGACCCGAGCGGCATTGCTGCGCCGTCTGTGTGCCCGACTCACTGCGCCTCTTCTCGACCACGACAGGCTCTTCGACGCATAGGCCGCCGCACAAGCCAATCGTCGGGGATAACGTCCGCTCCGGACCAGCGCGGCCATGGCCGCCAACATGCAGCACATGGCTGGCGTTGGCCAGATGGGCATACCACAACAGATGCGAAAGCCCACGACTACGCATCAACTACAACAATACGTCTATCAACAGATTCTCGCCCGCTCACAAGGACATGGCGGGTTGGCATGGCACGCAAATGTCAGCCTCAGTGACCGTATGGGGAAGACGATGGAGCTGTACGCATCCCCCAACCCAAAGGCTGCTCAGGGCCGCTACGCGTTTGATTATTTTGCTTTTGTGGCTAACTGTGTGACTTGCAGCATCTCCAACATTACGTTGGCCGTTAACAACAACGATACCCAGCAAGCTGTCAGCATGGCTTGCAAGTACGAGGAGGAGACTTTCAAATCCTCACCAAGCAAGGTACGACTGTTGCACAAGTGTTTCCCGAGTTCTGCCATTGTTTTTCCCTTGCTGCCCCGCTCCATTCCCCCGCGCATGTGACGTGCCATCTAACTCTATTTTCTTCACAGGAAGCGTACGATGCAACTATGAACGGCAAGATCATGGAGTTTTTCAAGAAACGACAGGAGAACGAGCCGAATCTCCAAAATTCTTTGAACGCCCAGGCCCAAGCTGCACAAGCCGCCCAGGCGCAGGCTATGATGAGCATGCAGGCGCAGATGGGTCGGGGCATGGGCCAGAACCCCCAGCAAGGCTTCCAGCACCTCCAGCATCAGATGCAAGCATCTCAAATACCTCAGCAGCTTCAGCAACAACAAGCCCAGCAGCAGCAGCAGATGGGCATGGGCATGGGCATGCAAGCTGGGCGCGGCGGCGGCGGCATGCCGAACCAGCAGGCCATGGGCATGCCCCCGAACCGACCACAGGCCCAGGCCGTCGCCATCGAAATGTCTCGACTCGCGCAAGCCGACAAAGCCAAGGTCATGGATCTTGCGGCGAAGCTCATGTCCCAGACCCCCGAGCCGCAAAAGGCCCACACGCGGATGCAGCTGCAGCAGAGACTGCCGCAACACCAGCTTGCCGAGCTTCAGTCCCAGGGCAAGGACCCTCTCCTGTGGTTCTTCCAGACGCAGGCGTTTCACATGCTGAAGACCAACATGAACCGTCTGCAGCAGCAGGGTGGACCCCCGGGCCAGAACGCCAACCAAGCCGCCATGATGCAGCAGCAGCGCAGTCAACAGTCCCTCCAGCAGCAGCGCCAGGGCATGATGAACGCGGGCGTGGGACAGTCCACCGACTTCTCCCAGTTTCCTCCGGGCATGGAGAGCATCAAAGACCAGCAGATGACTGGTCTCATGGCACAGCAAGCCGGGCAAATGGTTGTTCCCGCCAGCGGAGCCGCTGCTCGGAACCCGACGCCGCAGCCGGGAAACCAGGCCATGGCTGGCCAGCCCGGACCGAACCAGACTCCACGACAGCCCCAACAGCAGCCCCAACCGCACATGCAGCAGCAGCAACAGGCCGCAAATCTTCAACAGATGAAGATGAACCAAGCCCAGCAGTCCCAAGCCCAGCTCCAGCTGAAGCAGATGCAGGGCCAGAATGGCATGATGGGCGGTGTTGGTCCGTCGCAGAGCCCTGCCATGAACACTCTCAACACACCTGTATCACGTCCACCAGGAGGCGTCAATGGCGGCATGGGCCAGGGCATGGGCCAAGGCGGTATGCAGTTTGGTGACCAGCGATTCAACCAGGGAATCCAACGGCCGAACAGCCAGGCCTTCCAGAACATGCTTGCCAGCATGACGCCGGACCAGAGGCAAGCTCTCCACGGACTTGCGCCCGATAAGCTCAACGACGTTATGCGACGATGGCAGAGCACACGACAGGAGCAAATGGCGATGAACAACGGTCAGATGAACCCGCAGAACCGCCCACCGAACCAGTTTGGCGGTCAAATGAACATGAATATGGGCATGGTCGGCGCCCAGGGCCCGCAGGTCATGCAGCAGCAGCTGCCAAATGGACCAGGCAACGGCAACCTCCAGCAGCAGCAAATGCAGATGCCGCGGATGCCCATACAGAACGCGCAGGCACAGATGATGATGGACCAGATGGATCTCCCGCCGCAAGTCCACGCTCAGATTGCTCAGCTGCCCATCGAGGTCAAGAAATGGAGGGACCTGAAGATGTGGCTCGGCCAAAACAACACCCTGCCGCAAAACGTCAAGGGCCAGCTCAGCGCTCTGCAGCAGAAACAGTTCCAGATTCTCATGCAGAGACGGGCCTCGATGCAGCAAGCTGGGCAAGCCCCCGGCATGAACCCGATGGCAGGCGGAATGCCTGGTCAGATGCCGAATCAGCAGCAGCAGCAGGCGCAGCAGCAGCAGCAGCAGCAGCAACAGCAGCAGCAGCAGCAGGCTCAGCAGCAACAACAGCAAATGGCCATGCAACGGCCTATGGGCAATGTTCCTCAACAAGTGCTTCAGGTGACGCCGCAGGAGCTCATGCAAGTTCGTGCGCAGCGACCTAACCTGGCTAATATGGCTGACGAGCAGCTGCGCGCCATGGTGATGCATATGAAGCGTCAGTCGTGGCTGCAGCAACAACAGCAGCAACAACAGCAGCAACAGTTGAGAGCTCAACAAGCACAGGCCCAGGCTCAGGCACAGGCACAGGCTCAAGCACAGGCTCAAGGCCAGCAGGGCACGCAAGGCCAGATGCCTGGTGCTCCTCAAGCGCCGGTCCCGATGCAACCAACGCAGTCAGCGCAGCAGCAGAACCGCACGCCGCAACCGCAAACCCAGGCCGGACCAAACGGTGCGATGAGACAGACGGCCGCGATGACTCAGGCGGGAGGCCAAAGGCAGCAGCAGGGCCAGGCAACTGAGCAGGCTCGCAACAACCGGCCGGCACCCGCCAAGAACAACCTGAAGCGGCCGAGCACCGACGACGCTGCGGACGTTGCGGAGCCATCCAACGCTGCAGCCTCCGGTCCTTCGCGGCCGGCATCTCAACCAAATCAACAGCAGGGCACTAAAGGCCCGCAGTTGACGCCACAGCAGGTCCAGGCCCTGAACCCGGCGCAGCGAGCCAAATACGAGCAGTACCTGAAGATGCAGATGGCTGGACAGGGCCAGCAGGCCGCGGCCATGATGCAGCAGCAGGTCGGTCAGGAGGGTGTCAACCGCCTGAGACAACTCAGCGGCGAGGAGGTGCGTGCCTTTAAGGAACAGCCAACGCCTGAAATCGCCATGAGCCCGCAGGAGCGCAACGAGACTGCCGCCAAGCTGCAACGGATCGCGACCGACATGGGCAAGGTTGGCCGCGGCCTCACCAAGTGGTATTCGATTACGCGGGACGATGCACGCGCCAAGATATTCTTCAGAACCGTGAGTCGCTTCCTTTCGCTAGCTCATTTGACTTCACAGCTAACGTGTATTCAGCGACTGCGCATCATGAGCCAGTTCTCCGACGGCGACGGAATGCAGGTGCTCAAAGACAAGTTTAGCATTCGATCGTCCGAAGTGGACCAGGCTCGTACCATGCTGGAAAGCATGGCGATGGATCTCGCGGCGAACATGCGCGGACTCATGAAGCCTCCCGGTCAGGGACAAGCGGCCACTGCTGCGCCAAACTCGCAACAGCAGCAGCAGCAGCCGGCGGCGGCGGCGGCGGCAGCGGCGCAACAGCCTCAGCAGGGGACTCCCCAGGCCCAGCCGGCTCCGTTGAGCGCAGCCAACCTGGAGAAGAACTCGCAGGCACTGAACAAGATGAACCAGCAAAAGGGTTCTGCCAAGGCCAACCAGGTACCGCCAGCTCCGACTGCGACACAGCCGCCGTTCCCATTCGGGGCCGCTTCGCCGCACGGGAACCCGAGCTACATCGGCAAACCCAAAGACATGAACCTGCAGCTCCCACCTGCGCGGAAGAAGCCCAAGCTGTCTGGGCAACAGGCTGGCCAGACGTCGCAAGGCGCGACACCTTCGCCCAAGATGAACAAGAATGCATCGCCCGAGATGCGCCGATCTGAGCCGCCGAAACCCGTGTTCACGTGCAAGGATCCCGAGTGCGCCAACTCGACTCTTAGCTTCGCGACGGACCAGGCGCTCCAGCAACACGTCCAGGAGGAGCACGTCAAGCCGCACGAAGACCCGCTCAAGTTCTGTACGGAGCACCTTGCGCTGGCCCTTGGTCTGGAGCTCGACGGCTCGCCTAAGAAACCCGCGGAAACGTCGGTGGCCATGAGCGTGTCGACCTCGAAGCAGGGCCAGACGCCAGGCAACGTTGGCGGAACACCGATGTCGCAGGACGCTGGCATGAAGAGGACGGCGAGCGCCGCCGGCAAGCCCCAAGAGACGAAGAAGTCGGGCAAGGCGGACGCCTCGGCGCCGAAGCAGGCCGACGGCAAGGCGGACGCGGCGTCGGCGGCGACCCGCGTGGATCCCTGGGCGGGTTGCACCATCGATCCGCAGGCGTTCTTTGCCAACCTGGGCTGGGAGAAGGGCATCGGGCTCCCGAACTTGGTTAGCGAAGCCAACATGTATCGGTCCCTGACGCCCAAGGACACTCCCGAGTCGAGCAAGGATAGCGGTGCCAGCGAGCCAAACAGCGACATCTCCGAGGGCACGGCGCTGGACATTGACGTGTACTGGCACACGTACGAGAATGTGGACTCGGACCTGTTGCTCAACCTCGACAGCGCCACGTTGAATGGAGAGGCGCCGCTCAAAGGACCCGGCGGGGAGACGCTCGACCCGATGCTACTCCTGGAGCCGCCCATGGGCCCGGCACCGGATTGGGAGGACATGAAGATTGACTTTTCGCAACCTTTCGAGCTGGATACCCGGTTTTACAGTATGGCGACGTAGCCATGACGGGCACTACGGCCACTATGGTGTTTTTGCACTTCCTTCTTTTGCTCCTTTTCAGTTTTCGATTTTCCCACGCGCGATGACTTTTTTTCTGTTCTCTTTACGCTCGCTGTTATTTTCGCCCTCGGTCCGACGTCGCGGACAGAGAGGCCAGAGACGAGGGAGGCTAATTGCTGCATGGAAGCGTTGGTGTCACGCATGCGACGGCGATTGCTGCGTATTCGATGGATTTCTTTGTCGTTGATTCTTGTTTGCCTCGAGGGGCCTCCAGGATATATACCCCACGATTTCACGCTACGACGCATGCAGGCGCAGGATGCACGGGCGCTGGGCGGAGGAGGCGCGGAGTGCGAGGAGGCGCATAAAAGTCATGAGACCAGGACGGATCTCGGGGAGGGGATACGGGAAGCCGGTTCATCAGGCGTTGATAATGCAGGGCGGGGCGGGCGAGTCCCGAAGGAAAAGCAACCAGCGAGGCCAAGGCAGGGCAGGCCGGATTTGTATCATGAGGGTGGCGCGACGGCACCTGGCGGGCGACATGCAGATGTGTACCCATTAGGGAGATGAAGGAACCTCCTTCTTTGAGCGTTCTGATGACAGTTGCTGTCTGCTTTTGGTTTTTGGTCTGTTAGATTGGGCTGCGGCACGAGTGGCGGCGTGCCAGTCATAGGCGCAAACTCTTGAGCATGTTTTCTCGTGCGCTGTGTGTCTCGTTGAGGACGTGTCGATGCCGGTGTGCGTGTGTGCGTTTTGATGGCAACGCCTGTCTTCAGCATGATGTTGGTGTTTGACAGTCCCGTCACAAGAAGTCATCCGATGTTGGGAGAAGGCACCTTGGGTGTGGCTGGTGGTGCGCGTTCCTGCATGGTGGGTGTTGTTAGCGCCCGCCGCGCGGGGTGGCGGTCGGCGGGCGGCCTGTGGCATTGGACGAACGGACTGTCAGTGGATGATGCCCTAACGAAAGGGTTGGAGCCCGCTGTAGCCAGCACCTGGACCCGACATATTGTACCCAGCCACAGCACGCTCAGGCGCCGCTGGGCGGTGCCCTGGGCGTTCCAGGTTGCGGGAGGGAGCGCGCGCCGGTGAGGTGGTGCGGAGACGCGCCCTGGACCATGCCCAAACAGGCAATTTGTCAATACCCTGCCCACACTGCGGGCAGCTTGTGAAGAGACATGGATGGATGGACCCGTGGGGACCTGTAGCAGTGAGTGCTGTGCTGCTGGTGCGCGCGCGTGTCTGTCCCGTCCGCAATGTGGGGACCCTCGCCGTCTCAATTATTGATTGCTGCTGTCGACCTCGCGTCACCTTTCTGCCACTACTACTACTACTACAACAGCTACCACCACCACCACCACCATACACGTCTTTCTCTCGTACCAATCCTCCGTATTCCCTACTCATATCTTACCTGCCCTCTCTTCACCCGGCTGCGTGGTGCTTTACTGTCCTCTCTCGTCGCACTGCAGGCACTCATCTTATTTGCATGCACGTCGGTCCTTACTCCTGAGCCACCACCACCACCGCTTATCGTGGGCGCGCGACGTGCACCATCGCCACCTCGGGCACCTCACAACAACAGCAGCAACAGCAGCACTTCACTCCTTACAATCGCCTGCGTGCGTCTGCCCTGGGCGATCCCTCGCCTCGAAGCCCTCTCACCCTTTTGCAGCAATGGCCTCCTCGCACGCCGCTGTTGCTGCCGGCACCGCGTCGCCCACCAAGAGACGCGCCGCCTTGGCCCCGCTGGACGCGAACGCGATGCCTTCCTCCCCCAAGGCATTCTCGACCAAGGACGGCCTCGTGTCTGCCCCTGTGCCTCCCTCACTCAAGGCCAAGAGCCCCCTCGCCTCTTCTTCTCCTGCGGTGTCGTGGTCCGCGTCCGCGGCGCTGGCCGTCGGCAAGAGGCCCGCCGGCGAGGACGCCGCCGGTTCGGCTGGACGGCCGCCGGCCAAGAAGCCGTGCCTCGAAGAGCGTGACGATGTACGTTTGAACAAGCAACCCAATCGGTGCCTGTCGTCATCGTCGTCTACCGTAGACGATGAGACCAGTGGTACCTATCGTCCCCTTCCGTGAATGAATGGGTGTGGCTGACCGCGGAACGCGCCTCTTCAGGACGCGAACCAGCAGCACCGGCCGTCGCGCTCCCAGAGCCCCGACTCCGTTTCCATCTTCGACACCTCGGCCGGCGAGGGCGATTCCTCGTGGGCCACCGCCGCGACGGATCTAGACTACAATGCTGTGGCCGCCGCCCTCGCCCGCCCGCTACCCCGGCCGAGCCTGACGCGAGAGCAAGCAAGAGAGGTATGTCGTTGTCCGCGCGGGTCCCCCTCCCCTCCCCTCCCCCATAAAAGAACGTCTTGCAGACGGGACGAACGTCAACTTGGCTCGTGTACACGCTGTTGTTGGAAACGGATCCGCTAACCCGCTCCCCCGGCTCCGCCAGAAAGCAGAGATCCTCCGTCTGCGCCTCGGGCTCGCGTCGTACAAGGTCCGCACCGGGCAGGAAGCCGTCCCGCTGGCCGAGCTGCGGCGCCTGCCCCTCTCGCCGGCGGGCCGCCGCACCGTCCGCGTTCAGAGCCCCGCGCCGTCCCACACCACCGCCGCCGCCGCCGCCGCCGCCGATGAGAACCATGCCAAGAACAAAGAGAGGGACGAGGACGAGGGGGAGGACGAGGACAACGATGATGACGATTCGCAGTCGCAGATCCTGCCGCAGTCTCAGCAGTCGGCATCCACACACGTATCCGCGTCCACTACCTGCGACTTTGACGCCTCCGTGACGATAGCCGCCACGCCGCCGCCGCCGAACGAACATGACATGAAACAACAACTACAACAACAAGGCGAGGGGGAACAAAAGGCACATACAGAAGGCCGGAAGGAAGTGCAGGAGCAGGACACGAAGGGCGAGCTCACGGGCGGCGCCGCAACGGGCCTCCTCAGCCTGGCCATGGCGAGCATGAGCTAGCGGCCCCCCTTCCCTATGTCCTCGCCCACTCACTCCCCCGGATTGCGGGACCGTACTCGTCCCTGTGGTCTCCGGAGAAGGTGGTTCGTTGGTGTTGGCGGCCATTTCTCCCGCCTGGGTTCATCATCTGGTGTTGAGTGCTGTGAGAGAAAACGCGCCTCATACCCGACGCGATTGTACTTTATATGTTTTGGCTCTATTGTTTCAATGTTCTTGTCGCTTACGCGCCGGGCCGTTCAATGGGGTTTGTTTGAACGGCTCGAAACGACACATGGGATGGGTTGGAGGGCCGGGGCCACGCTGGTGGTTTGGCTGAGTGAGGGGGCATGGCCCATGGGACGGACCGGAGTCTGACGAAGTGATGGGTATCAAACGGCGTTGACGGAACAGTATTTGGCTTGAACTTCTGGTATTTTATAATGAAGCATTTTCTGCGCATGACACGTCTCATGTTGTTTTTCATATTCAACTGTCGAGATGCCTTTACAGTCAAGTCTCTCTTTCTTTTTGAGTGTAGCTGGCGGCCGTGGCCCGTCTCATGGCAGTTCGTCGCACAAAGTCAGTCACCTCACACCCCCAACACCACATCACAACCTCCCACCGCCGCTGCGCCATGCATCCACGTGGTCAAACAAACAACACTGTCCCGTTCCCGTGCGTAAGCCCTTTTCTAGTCCACTAGGATCTTGGGCTCGAGGCGGCCGTAGCTCTCGAAGAACTGGTCAAACAGCTTGACAGCATGCTCGACGTCTGCGGTGCCGCCCGTCTCGCGGATGCTGTGCATGCTGAGCTGGGGGTTGCCGAGGTCGAGGGTGCGCATGCCGAGCTTGGCGGCGAGGCCCGGGCCGATGGTGCTGCCGCAGGGGGAGTCGTTGCGGACGACGAAGAGCTGCAGGGGCACGCCGGCGAGGCGGGCGCACTCCTGGACGAGGACGATGCCGGGCGAGTTGGTGGCGTAGCGCTGGTTGGCGTTGATCTTGATGACGGTGCCCTTGTTCATGGCGGGCTGGTGCGAGGGCTCGTACTTGCCGGCGTAGTTGGGGTGGACGGCGTGCGCCATGTCGGCCGAGACGAGGAAGGAGCGCGACAGCGTCTGCTCGTAGGCCGTCGACTCCTCGCCCTCGTGGTGGACGGCCTCGTAGCTGCCCTCGCTCGAGGCGTCGCGGTTTCCGGGCAAGACGGACAGGCGGCGGATCACCGACGGCAGCAGGTTGGAGTGGGCGCCCTGGGCCGACTGCGAGCCGATCTCCTCGTGGTCGAAGCACACCGTCATGCGAATCGTCGAGTCGTTGTCGAGCGAGGCGCCGTCGCGGACCGACGAGATGAGGCCCATGACGGAGCAGTACGTCATGCCGAGGTTGTCGAGGCGGGGGGAGAAGATGAGCTCGTCACTGATGCCACCGATGCACGATTTCTGTGTGTCGTAGAGGACGAGCTCAAAGTCGGCAATGGCCGAGACGTCGACCTCGAGCTCGCTGGCGAGGACGTCGAGCACGCCCGGGTGGTGGCGCTCCGACATTTGGTCGAGCGGGCGGAAGTCCTCGTCATCGTCGTCGTCCTTCTTCTCCTCCTTCTTGTCCTCGTCGGGCTTGGCGGCGGTGCTCTTGTTCAGCTCGGCGGCGGCGAGGCCGGCAATGGGGAACAGCTCCGTCTCCTTGTTGGGGTCAAAGTTGGACTGGCGGTGGAGGTGGATGGCCAGGGTGGGGATGCGCAGCAGGGGCCGGTCGACCTTGACGAGGCGCTGGACGAAGCTGTCGCCGTCGCGGACGAGGACGCGGCCGGCGATGCTCAGGTCGCGGTCGAACCACGAGTGCCAGATGCCGCCGCCGTACGTCTCGACGCCGATCTGCAGGTAGCCGACGTTTGACTTTTTGGAGACGGGCTTGACGCGCAGGCAGGGCGAGTCGGTGTGGGCGCCGACGATGGCGACGGGGTTGCCGGGGCGCCACTTGCGGCCGATGGCGAAGGCGACGATGGAGGAGCCGTTGCGGGTGAGGTAGTACTTGCCGCCGGGCTGGAGCTTCGAGGCCCAGGAGTCGCGCTCCTTGATGAGGGTGAAGCCGGCCTTTTCGAACCGCTCGGCGGCCGACTTGGTGGCGTGGTAGGCTGCGGGCGGCGGCACACCGATGCGTTAGCCAAGTCAGGGTTCCTCAACGTGTGTGTGCAATGGATCGGGAAAGCAGTCTGAGCACAGCGCATGTGGGGGGCATCGCGTACGGGTAGGCGAGGCGTTGACAAAGTCGACAAAGTCGAGGGCAGCCTTGGGAGGAGCCATGGCGGGCGACGTGGTGCAAAAGGACGACGAGGACAGCTGCGCAGAGGGTATCAACACCGCCCGGTTCTCGAAGCGTCTCGACGACAGGCGGAGCAGGGGCGAGGACGGGTGCGAGGCTCGTGAGAGCATGAATGAGCGAGGACGCAATTAGAGAGGGGGAGCAGCAGCAGCAGCAGCAGCGACGCTCGATGTTGAGGAAGAAAAGAGGTCCGTGGATTGCGGATGTCGTTGCCGGGAGGTGGGGATGCGCCGTCGAGCTTGACGGTTGGGGATTGGCTTCGTCTTCGATTTCGGGGTCACTGGACCGGATGGCTGGCTGCGAGCGGTGCCCGCACCACCAAAAGTTCGGGGGACCCGCCTGACCAGAGCGGCAGGTGCCCCCATGTCATGTCACGGCTGCCAGCTCGAGCCATGCCCGGGCGCCCATCCCCGCATCGAGGGGCCGGCGGGGCACCTTATTGGCCGCCGAATGGAGCAGTTCTTGGTAGAGGTCGCATATTTCCATATCAAAAGACTGCATCACCAGCGCCACGCGGCAACGCATCCCGGTACTCTGTCTGCATTTACTGCGCGTATTGTTTTTTTTATCGTCAATGCATCCTTCCGTCGCGCCGACCGTCTGTCTATCCAGGGTATTATTGCCCAGTCGAGTGTATATCTATCCATCGTGCCGCCGCCTCAAAACACCACCTCTAGTTGCAAAACTCATACCCGCCATCCTCTCAGCGCCGTACAAAGAGAAAAAAGAAATCCATCGCGTCGCCAACTCAACAGATCCACACCGCGCAGCCTCTTCACTTGCGCTCCGTAGTCTCCGTGCCGCTCTCCTCGCTGTCGTGCGATCGCTTGCGCGGCTCGTCCCGACCGAAGACGAGGCCCGGGTGGCCGAAGCACAGGGCCAGCGACGCCAGGACAATCAGCACGCCCTCGAGCACGATGAAGGGCGCCTCCTCCTTGATGAGCTCGCCGTCGTAGCCGTCTCGGAGCTCGGCCACACGGTAGGCGCAACGGGCCAGGATGAGCAGCACCGACCCCGACAGGCCCAGGAAGAAGGCCGTGAGGCGCCACCCGAAGCCCGACGACCGGCCCGAGCGCCAGTAGCGGATCATGTAGTCGGCAAAGCACGCCACAAAGGCAGTCAGGACGATGACCTGCAGCGCCAGGCCCGCCATGGACACGTCCACGCCCGTCTGGTTGTCTCCGTCCGAGTTGGTCGACATGGCGCCGCCCGCCGCCTGCAGCGCCAGACAGACCACGTCAAAGGGGATGAAGATCCAGTAGAACAGCTGCGGCTTGAACCGCGACAGGTCGGGCGCAAAGTACACGATGGTCTTGGAGAGCGTCACGTAGATGGATGCCGTGTAGAAGACGGGCGCGATGGTCAGGCAGACTGCTTTGAGGTCAGCTGGCGTTCAAGCTCCCCACGTCGCCTAGCGGGCAAAACTCACCGATCTGGACCATGAAGCCGACAAACGAAAAGGGATTGTTCCAGAGCATGATGCGGCCAATGTACCCAATCACTTCGCTCATGCAGCCCAGGATCATGCCCGTCATGAACCCCCAGCTCTTCCATCGGATGCCCAGGTACGTGTGAATGATGCCGACCAGGGCGAAGAGCACCAGAAAGGTCGTGTTAGCGGCCAGAGACGGCCGGAAGCCGTAGATGCTCCATTCGATAGGGCAGTTGTCGAGGTTGCAGGTGGCGTTGGGACCAAAGGTCTTGACACCGGGAGGGAGTTGCCGCGACATGGCTCTGTTGGTGGTCTGTGTATGTCTCAACCTGATGCAACCAGATTTCGGCGATTGTAAGTAGATGACCCGGCTTGTAGGGCTGATTGAGCGTCCCTGGCGGCGAGTGCCGGCGGATGGAAGGGTGGCAGGCGGGTGGCGTAGGGGGCCAATTGCCGAAGACGGGACGAAAGGCGAGCTGAAGATGCGGCTTGTTGCCTCGAGTCAAAGTACTTGCTCGTCGCGATGCTATTGAGTCTTCCTTCAAACACAAACCTCAGAGGCGGATTAGCCGGCCCTCAAATACAGATGCCAAGCGCCATTGTCTACGACCGCAGCGGCAGCGCAGCAAGGCAGCATAACGGCTTCCCTCGCTCGGGCTGAGCCCTCTTGGGCGCGGGAGGAGTGAGATTTCGGCGTCATGCTTGTTTCGCATTCGCACTGACCGTATCTCGCACTCGCGAATCCTGCCGGTCAGACGCGGAGCTGAGGGGCGGCCGCGCGAGCCACGTTGGCGGCTTGCGTTTCCACGCGGGTGAGATGGACGGCGCAGCCCTACGCCAGCCGGTATCTGATGCGAGGGCGTCGCTGTGGTTGGCCCGCCCGGCCGTCGCTCGAAGGATGCGACAGCGTCAGGACCGAGTGCGAAGGCGCGAAGGGCGAGCTGTGCCGCCGGCCCCACCCCCGAGTCCGAGGAGACGAATGGCAGATGCGGGATGGCCACGGCAGTGATCAATTGATGCCTGCAGCCACGAGCTAGCACTGCATCGCTCTCTCACCTTGCCCTGCTTGCGCTGGGGCTGTGAAGCCAGGGACGCGTCGTCCATCACGAACGGCGTTCTCCCTCGCTCATGACGCTTCCATTATTAGCGTGGCGGCTTCGGAGCAAGTGAGCCTAAATCCATCAAGGTGCGGCTCTCCGTCGGAGCCTCATTGCTGTCTTGTCCGCCCTGTCAGCCCAGGGTTGCACCCGTGTGACGCAGGGTCGTGGCCGTCGCCATGTTTTGCGCCATGCGCTTGCATCTCGTCTCATGGCACCATACCTTGCTGCTGTTGCTGCTGCTAACGTATGGTCGTCGACGACGAGTACGAGGCCACGGCCGGCTCTGTTGTTGCTGTGAGAAATGCTCATGACTGCCCTTGAGGAACCAGCTGGGGAATGCGCGTGGCGTGCGGCTCGACCGAACACGAAACACGACGAGTATGCCTCGTGCTAGAGAACTCCCGTACTTCGTAAAGGGCACTTCAACAAAATGGCAGTAGCCCCTGATCGATTGTTCCCGCTCATTTTCTTCTTCTCAATCATTTTTTCGCTACGTCCGTGTGCTGGACCTTGTCCCTGGAGCATCTCCAGCTTCTCGCGGAAGGCCAAGGCTCGCCCAGTCTGCCGACTGATGATCCTTTTCCCTCTCGTCGATAAGGTTGCACGTGTTTGCCCTCGATTTCGGCAGGTGCATGTCCACTATGCAGGGGCATCCATCCTTCCGTCCGCGCGCCTCCGGCAATGGGCATCCAGGGCACACAGAACCGCCTGGAGTGGCGTTGAAGCCGGCTCAACGACATGACCGTACCAACTTCTCGTCGACAAGGAATGAGACGAGGCTGGGCACATTGATCCTGCAACGCAGGCTAGTCGTTTAAGCTTCTTTGCAACTGCCGACTAACCTCCGTCTCCGGATGCAGTGGCGCCGAGTGCACGGTCGGCTCTTCTGATATGGGGCTTTGAACCGTCGGCTTGCGTTGCCAACAATGGCCACGCATGGTGCACGTGCGGAGGCGTCGCCGAGAGGAGCTCATCCACATCCTCGCAAGACCCGAACGTTGTCGACAGGTCAGAGTGCGGGCCGCGTTCTATCTCACAAAGGTAGCCACCGATGCTGGCGTTGTCTGGCATCGAGTCGAATGCGTTCTCAAGCCAACAAGTGGGATCCTGGCACCGGTCAGTAACGACGCTTCCACGGCAGCAACTCGCGAGAGTCCGCAAGACGAACGAGTCCAAAGCAACAATATTCCTACTCAAGGAGGAGCACGACGAGCTGAGCACGCTCATGGGCAGGCAGGCCCTCACAGTTGTCGCCGCCTGTCATCTCACCCCAGCGGCATGACTCGGTATCTGCTTCCGATGAAACACCGTTTTCGTCCTCAATGGGGACGCAGCTGGTCCAGAAGCACGATTAATGCCTCGGGGGCTTGATCGTTCGATACTCCAACCCATCGCTTGATGTGTGGATGGCCAAGACGCACTCCCTCATGCCAGCGGCAAAGGAAATGCAGTGACATGCCTGCCTGGTGGGAACGAGAGCGAGAGGTACAACGATGAACCAACTCGGCAGGCATTTTCACTTGCCTGAACCTCGCTTTGGCTCATCAATTGATGCGCTGCAAGTCACCTGACCGTCGTCGCAGTGGCATTTGCCAGCAAAGGGAAGGCACGATGCCTGAGTCAGGATCGCTCCCTCAAACCGCCTCGCGGGCCATCGCCAAGCCACAACGACCGAGACACACGGAAACCAAGTCCACTGTGCGGACAGCGACGCCTCTCAATCAGGTACGAGTGCAAGCCGGCTTGCGCGAACAACAAGGCGACAATGGCCCGGATCGTCCGCCCGCCTGCAAAGGTGAAACAAGGGCTGCACATCGCACCGCATCGCGTCCCCGCCGATGACCTCATGAGGGACCCTCCCCTTTTCTGGTTTTTCCTTGTTGTCGCCCAGCCCTGTGTAACAGAGCGAGACATGGGCGTCACCACCCGAGCATCCGAGCCGAGGAGCTGATGTGAGACTTCTCGCGACTGCCTGGCTGGTGCCGCCGGTGCTGCCGCCAGTCCAACAACACACGACAGACAACGATCAGCAAGGGGTGTGCGAGGTGGGCGTTGTGGGCTTTGGCCGCCGCAAGGGCAAACACGAAGCGGGCCCCGGGAGACGAAACGCGACTGATCTTGGTTTTCGATCCGGGCCCGCAGGAGGCAAGGAGACGGAAAGGCGAAGAGCAAAGACGGGACGAAACGAAACGCGATGATCCTGCCTACGGTCTGTCGCGAGCTGGGCCATCCGCCATGGTCGCGCGTACTCTGCGAACGCCCGACCCATTTGGTCAGCCAGTCATTCGTTGGTTCGCAAGGCCAACGCCACGGTTGTCCCCGTCTTGGGTCCCGCGGATTCAGTTGCCCCCTCTCGCCCCATTCGACAGCAGCGACGCCTCCAACGAGGCACAAGTGGGACTGGGCGACAATGGGCACAATTGAGGACACACAGTGCAGTCCACCAACGACCACAAGCTACGAGTACAGTGCACCAGGTCCGCAAGGTACCGACGCGCCAGGAACACAGACGCAGCCGACGCGCTCGGGCGCAGCATGGAGTCGAGCCGCCGACGCAGGAACCACCCTGCGCGCTATGCAGATCTTCATCGCCAAAAGCTGCCCCAAGGAACAAACCCAGGTAGTCTTGCCAGTGCTGGACTATAACTAGGTGTGAGTACTGCAACGGGCTACATACAGTACCGCACTGCACAAGCCCACCTCGCGTTCCGCACATCGTCCGGTCTGTGCGGCCGGGTTATTTATTTTGCCTTTTTTGTGTCCCTTCATTTGCACAGAATAACATGGCTGACCTCGATGTGAAGCTGGTAACCCCCCCTGTCAGGAACGATTGTCGGCCCCCCGGCCACCTTGGGCCGCAGCGAGTTGCCTGATTCGACGGCTCGCGCCCGGTGCAATTTCCGGATGCTGCCAGGGGGTCCCGCACCCGCTGACTTGCCCCCATGGCCCCTCAAGCCCCCATGGGAGGAGCCCATGGATGCTTGCAAGGTTGCAAGGTGCCCTTTTCGACTTCTCTTGTCATCCGTCGCCCCCGCCCCCCCGACGATGCCCCCCCGGCGGTTGTGGCGAGGCTATGCCGCACGGGGCGTAATGCTCTCATGTTGCGAAATGAGTGCCCTCTGTCCGGGGCCACGGTCGAGGCGTCTCTGCCCACGGGGTCTCGGCCGGCGCCCACCTCTGTAGCTTTGGCCCCCATGTCGTTCGGTGTTGGGTCCTCCGCTCCTCTCGCAGGAGGCTTCTAAGGGGGTTCTTCACCGGCGACTGCCAAGCTGTCTTCACAAGGTGTCAGATCATCGCCCGTGAGCCCGTGTCTCATGCCCGCACAGATGTTTGTTTTTTTATGCCCGCCTTGACAGCAGATCGCGCCATCTACCAGATCATCCACATCGTCATGTCATTTGGGGTCAAAAAAGGTTGTTTCAAAAAGTCGGACATCCAGGGTCAGCACCCCTATCCAAGGAGGGACCTCCCGAACGCCCGCCCGTTGCAATTAGAAGATTAAATACATTGGAAGTGACCCTTTTGCTCTTGCCGTTTGCCATCAAAAAAATAATGCTAGTAATATTTCAGGTCTAGGTTAAACTCTGTACATTGTGTCCAACCAAGAGAGAATCCCGAGATATAATGCCTTGTCGTGAGAAATATTTGCCGTAGCCTCCTGGCTTCAACTCATGTAGTCGAAAGGAAAAATTTAAGCGAAGACGTAGGCGGCGACACCGGCGGCAGCGGCGAAGAGGGCCGAGCCGGCGAAGGAAGCAGCGCCAGCAGTGACCGGGGGAGGGACACCAGTGGGGACCGAGGTGTTGCCAGCAGGGGGAGGAGTGACAACGGGGGGAGTGACGGTGCCGCTGGGGCCCTGGGTCTCGGTCGGGCAGGGGACCTCGACGGTGGAGTACTCAACCGTGGTGAGGACGGTGGTGTAGCTCTTGGTGATGGCCGTGACGGAGTGGCTGGGGCACTCGGGGGCGGCGGTGGTGGCAGGGCCGCTGGGCAGGGCCGAGGAGACAGTGACGGGGCCAGAGGGCTGAGCGGACGAGGCACCGCCGGTGGGAACAGCGATGGTGCTGTTGGGGTAGACGGGGCCAGCAGAGGTGGTAGGGCCAACGGGGCACACAGTGGTCGAGATGGGGATGGTCTCGGTGGTGATGATGGTGCTGTGAGCCGGGCAGTTGGTGACCGTGGGGCCGCACGAGGTGATGGTGTGGACCTTGGTGGTGTAGACGGTCGAGGTGGTGACGGGAACCAGGCTGGTCACGACGCTGCTGGTCTGCGAGTGGGCAGGGCAGTTGGTGACGGTCGACGGGCAGGCAGTGACGGTAACCAGGGTGGTGGTGTAGTCGGTCGAGGTAGGGGCGTCGTGGCCGTGGGCCAGGGCCGAGCCGGCCATGAAAGCAACGGTAGAGAAACGCATCTTGTCGTTTGGGGGGTTTGGTGTTCGTGTGAAGAACGGGTAAAGAGGGTTGGAAAGAGAGACGAAGCGTAAAGCTTGGAGCGTTTGTATAAAGAATGGACGACCGAAGTCAAGGAGAGTCAAAAGCTGGCGTTGCTTGTGAGTTGGCTTGTTTGGCTGAAGAGAGAAAGAGGAGAAGAGAGAGCTCGAGCGGACACGGAGGGTGGCAGGATATTAATACATGCGGCGCCCGGTTTGTGTGCGTCTCACGGGGGCAAGGTGTGCTCTGCGTCCATCTCGCCCGTCTTGCGACGCGCAGTGGCCTTGCTCCTCCTCCGCCGTCTCCTCCTCCTGCTCCTCCGCGCCTTGGGATCCATCCGTCCATCCATCCATCGGGCGCGTCCAGGGCCGGGCCAGGATCACTGTCAGTCGCTTGCCCTGGGAAATTGCACGGCCGCCGACTCCTCCACTGGCGCTAGTCCAGGGGCAACGTGGTGGAGGTGTTGATGGGTCCATGGGGCTCGCGCCCACCCTCCCCGTTGGCGCCGCCGCTCTGTTGTACGACGGGGGCCGGTACTCCGTACGGGACGACGCTCGCGCCACTGTACGCCATGTGCCCCCCGGGCTGGGGGCTGGATGCTGGATGCTGGACGTCGCTGCGGTGCCTCGCTGCAGGTCCGTGGGCACAGGTCGAGAGCTGGCCCGTCCCTCCCGCCCTTGCCGTAACAGCTTCTCCCCCCGACCAGTCTGCATTGCAGGAGGGCGGTTACGTCTCGTCTCGTGTCTCGTCCACACTCGCGTCGCCCAGCCCGCGCCTAACAGCTGCTGGCCTGCGCCTGGGGCGGCGGCACTGTGCTGCAGCATCGCCGGGGCATGTCGCTCGAAGCACTCCTTTGCGGGCTGCCAGGTCCGTCGCGATTGCAACACCGCCGGCTAGCTGGACGCCTTCATCTCGGGGTCAAATTTGCCCTCTCCAGCCGCCGCCAGTGGCGTGGCCCCCCGTGGGCCATCAAAGGAACCCATGCTGCGATGCTGGCGCATTTGATTCCACCTGCACCAAAAAAAGGCCCGCGAGTCTGAGCGCCGTGCCGTACGGTAGTACCTATCGTCAGCAGCGGTTGGCCGCACCTTGCCTTTGTCATGTCCAATCTCCGTCAGATCTCCCCCCGTATCAATGAATACGCGCTACTCTGTACTCCGTACGAAGGCTCCATGCTCGAATCGTCGTCCTCGCAGCGGTTTGCTTGGGCACGGTTGGGCACGGCGGGGGGACGACAACGGTCAGGTAGCCAGGGGCGCGGGGTGATGGTACGTTGAGCCCGGCAGCGCTCCCCTTGTGCCCAGTATGCTCGACTCTGGGCGCATTGCGTTTATTGCCAGGCGACACTGCGAGTCGTCACGCGGCAGAGAGCTTTCGTGCGGCGACGACGGTGCGGAGAGCAACAACTGATATGGCGGCGTGTGTGCAGAGTGATGGTGCCAAGGTGGGGGAACCTACAACACGCTGCCCACTGTCGCGTGTTCTAGCACTGGCTCTTGCCTTGGGTTGGCACCATCCCCAGACGTTGGTTCCTTCCTAGGTTGCCTGTTTGACAGGGCAAGCAATGCCCACGTCTCCTGACGGGAGGCATCAGGGCCTCAGTCAGCTTCTTCACCCTGCAAAGCAAACCTTTGGGTCGTGACGTCCTGCTAGTGCCCCATTTTCCATCTCGTTTTTTGCCATCCCCGTGAGTGAAATGTCCGCCGACGGCACGGGAAGGGGGCGGCACGCACCGGGTCTCGGTTCCAGGTGCAGCAAGTAACTTTCAGCAACGCCGCAGCAAACATCGTGGCAGGCTATGGTTGCAACCGTTCGCTCGCTGCCGCCTTGCCTTCCACGAGTGGCCGCTCCCGCATCGCATAGCGGTTGCGTTGGTAACTTATCAGGCGCGAAGGGGGGGAAGCCTATACGGTAACTATGGCCCGGTGCCATACTGTATGGTACCGCAGACCACGCCGCATGGGGTACCCGGACCGCATGTTCCCTCTCAAGCCTCTGCCTCCCACGGTGGGCTAATGCAGGAACAGATCGTCATCCCCACCGCTGCATCCAGCAGTCGTCCTGCCAGACGCGCGACCTCGTCAGCCAACCAATCTCACCTCTGCTGAGCACCATTTCTCCTTCTGGCCCAGAGCCGGCTCCTATTTGCCTGTTCGCGCCAGCCCTCCGCACTGGCGCCCGCGAGCGAGGCGGTGCTCCGGAGGACAATGCAGTTCCATCACCCCAACTGGGTCACCTCCTTTACCGACTCCTCTGACCCGGCCGCTACGCGGTCCTTCGTGGCACCAACGGAAATGATCTCGCCGTCAAGTTGGGCCAGTCCCTGGCACTCGCAGGTGGCAAAAATGCTTAGCACGCATAGCGCCTCGAATAATCCCGGCAGCGGGCGGGCGCCAGAGTGCCGCCCGAGGCGTCGGCTACAATCAAACTCATCCGCCCAATGGAAGGCTGGGCCGCCGAGCCCAAACCCAACAGCGCGTCGGTCTGCCATGGTCCAGACGCCGGCGTCGGCTTGTCAGCTTCTCGATCTGGCCAGGGCTTCAATAGTAAGAACCTGCTGAGGCATGGTTCGTGGCGCGACAGGGGCAACCTGCGGCTACAGCTGCAGCTGCACTGCTCGAGTCAACCCACGAACACATTTGCCGCTGGCAAGATTGGGTTCGTGGGATGGTCACCGCCGTCACCCCTCCTGAATCCATATCGACGCCAAGGTGAGTAACTCCGCGCTCTGGGCGCGTCGGAGATCTACGCAGAACTTGTGGGTGGTGCCGATCCAGTCGTGTGCCCGTCCCGTCAACCGTACCGCTCATCCGCTCTGCGCAAAGCAACAGACCATGTCGCCTGTCGTCAGACCGCCGCCCTCAGCAAGTGCTTGTCGCGGTGCGTCGTCACACCATTCATGCAGTGCCCCCAGTACGCCCACGCGCTCGTCCGTATGACGTTTGTCCCGCCAATGACAAGCTTGTTCTTGTGAAACATGAAACGGGCCGGTGGCCGAGGGCGAGACCGCGGTGTTCTCTGGCAAGCCTGCGTCTGCAGTGCCCTGGTGGCCAACACCAAGAATTGCAACTTGCAGAGACATTGACGCGCATCGTCGAGCTCGGGCCGGCTACCGGTACTGCCAAGTGCAGTACCCAGCAATCGCCCGCATCGTAAATTGGCAAGAGCAAAGTCGGGGGCACTGTGCCGCGATCCACCGCTCGCCCGCGATTGCAATCTGCGACCCAATGCCCAGCAAGGGTGGTTATGCCTGTGCGCGTCGCACATTGGAACTTTGACCGACACCCTGCGCGTGTCGATGGAACGTTGACAACCTAGCTTTCAACACTGTATCAGTGTCTGGTACAAAGGACCGCCAATTGCTCCTGGGCCGAGACCAGCAGCCCTTTGGCGCCTGCATCGGCCCTTTGGCGCCTCGAAACCTCGTGTTGTAAGATTCATCCTCAAAGCTAGTTAAATAGCCGCATCCTGTGGGCAGGGCCCGGATGCACTGACCCGGAGAGCGTCGACGACCCACGGCGTCCACAACCCGCCCGCTCGGTGACAGGGGCAATATCGAGAAACCCCGCAAAAGGAGAGATGAGTCTCAATTTCTTCAGATCACTTCCGGCGGCGGAACCGCTGTGGAATCTTTTAATAGAGGGCCACGGGGCGCCGTGCAGTCTGTCGAGGTCGAGGGGCTCTACAAAAATGGAGGCGGCCTCATGTCGCTCCCGTTTCAGCGCCAAAATGTCGACACCGTCGATGTCCACCACGTGCCCCGCCGAATCCGATCGTAGGGGGTTGACCAAGAACATCGCATCTTAGATTCTTGCGTACACGGGGCAGTGAAGCTCATCTGATACGGGTTTCGGTATGGTCTTCATCAATGTCTCGACGATATCAACCGCCATGGAACGATCCCAGCTCCGAGACGTGGCCCGGCCCATCCAACCGTCCGCGGACCAGACTGGGGCGATGCGATCGAGGTCACTGGCTGCGAACATTATTATTTGGTCGGAACGCACTCGGATTGCTCCAGGAACAATGGCATTGTCTGACACGAGCCGGACGATCAGCAACGGGTATGCGGCCCCGATGGAAGCCCGGACCAGTCCCATGCCTCGGATGATGCGTGGACGCCTTGAGCGTGATCCTGGTCCTGAACACGGCACAGTACGTGGTCATCGTCGAATCGTCAAAGCTCCTGCCACGCAACCGACATGCGAAGGCGGAGTTCCTGCCACGGTCTACTAACGGCCAGCGGCGAGGTCGGTGAGATGCTTGATGAGCGATCTCAACTTGGCGGTGCCAAGACGGTAGAAGCGTGCATACCGACTGAGAGGCATGAATTCCTTGGCACGTGGCTTCAAGTGTAATTATTGTTCCGCGGAGTGTCTGACTCGACGCCAAGTCCTCGTTGGAAGCATCACGCAACCGCACCGTGCCCTGCCATGGAGCGGTCTGCCTGCCCTGGGGCGCTATGAGTCGCTGACGACCGGCACGCGACCGTTACGGGTGGCCTGACGTTGCAAGAGCCGGTGGCAACGGGCATATCCGCCGCCGCCGTTGCCGAGCTTGTGGTGGTGGTGAGCCTGGTTGCCTGAGTCGTAGCTGTGATGCCATGGCGGCATCACTCCGCATGATGAAGCGTGTTGGGAAGATCTATGTTCCTTGCGGGCCCCTGGACAATTCGCACTGTAGCTTGCCCGCTTCGCTGGCCGGAGCCACACAGTAGACCCTACAGGCTGAATTTGCCCGAACATCTCCCGCCCGCTGCACACACAAACACCACGTCAAAAAAAAGTGCCTGCCGTACCCCACATTGGTGGCACGCGAGAACCTGCACCGACATTTTGGAACCGAACCGAACCTCGCGCGGGCGGATAAAGACGCAACACACAAACACCACGCCACGAGACGACGCATCGTCGAGCTGCACCGCCGCATCCCGCCCGCGACCGACTCCCCCCGCTGCCGCTGTCGCCGCGTCGTCTGCCCCCGAGCCCGCCGTCCGTCCGAGAGAGCTCCCAGCACACGCCGCCCTGCAACCCCCGCCGCCCGCCGCTTTCGACAGCTGCCCTGCCTGCCTGCCTGGCCCCCAGCCCCTCCCAGACCGTCCTGCCCCTCGGCCCAGGCATGACTCCACGGTAGCCTCGTCGTTGCCCAACCCAACAATTATGCTGGATGCTGCGTCCACAAGGCTGCCGGAATTATAGCAGCTCGCGCTCCCGCCTGACGTACAACCCTCATTTGCCCACCTCGCTGCTCGCGGCCTGCGTGCCGTGCATCTCCATCGAGTATGGAAGCTCAGGTACGTCGTTGTGCCCGCGGCCGTCGCCTGCCGTGCAGCCGGCCCTGTGTCTCCCCGTCTCCAGTCTCCTGTGCCGCTCGTTTTGACTCCCCGCGGCCGCCCGCCTTCTGCCTGCCCCGCCAACCCGCCTCCCTCCTCGTCCCTTGTCGGGGCATGGCGGCCACTGCATGTTGCGGCAGCTGCGCCTGTGCTCCGGCGGGATGTTTGTCTGTCTGTGGTGTTTAAGCAGCCGCTGCCGCCGTTGCTCGTGGCACATTTTGCCTTCTGTCCCATGCTGCCGCTCCGGGCTCGTCTCTGGTGCTAACATGTCCTCCTCCCCGCCCAGGTCGAAAATGCCGTCGAGCTTCTGTCGAATCCCACCTCCAACCAGTCGCTGAAGGAGCAGGCGTTCGAGTTCCTCAGTGAACTTCGGTCCAACCCACAAGGCTGGCAAGCGTGCACGAACCTCTTCGCCCGAACCCCCCGGCCATCCGAGGTCGTCCGCATGGTGTGCCTTGAGGTCGTCAACTATGCCGTTCACACCCAGGGCCTCGACGGCGAAAGCCTCGCCTATCTCAAGTACACGTTACTGCAATATGTGCGCCAAGGATACGGGCCCGAGGCCCAACAGGAGCCCGATCCGGTCTCGCTCCAGAACAAGCTTACCCAGACGTTGACATACCTCTTTGTCTTCCTGTACCAAAATGGCTGGCAGAGCTTCCTCGACGACTTCTGGGAGCTCACCGGCGTCCCGAGCAACGCCAGCAACTCTCCAGGCGTCCTTCTCTACCTACGCATCTTGTCGTCGATCCACGACGAAATCGCCGATATGCTCCTGGCGAGGGAGAGCAACGAAGCCAAGCGGAACACGGAGCTGAAAGACCAGCTCCGCGCCCAAGACATGCACAAGGTGGCCGACTCGTGGAAGCAGCTGCTCGTCAGATACGCCGACAACGACACTGTCGTCGAGCTGGTCCTCAAGGTTGTCGGCAAATGGGTCAGCTGGATGGACATCTCGCTCGTCGTGAGCCAGGACATGCTGAACCTGCTGCTTCCCGTCGTTGGGCGTACCAACCACGGCACGGAAGACAAGGTCCGCGACACCGCCATTGATACCCTCACGGAAATTTGCGGCAAGAAGATGCGGTCCGCCGACAAGATGGAGATGGTTTCCTTTCTCAGCCTCGAGCAGATTGTGGGTCAGCTCATTGCCAGCCCGTCTCTGACGGAGCTCAAGGGCACGCCAAAGTACGACACCGACCTGGCCGAGGCAGTCGCCAAGCTTGTCAACACCGTCATGTCCGACATCGTCAAGGCCCTCGACGATTCTCAGAGCAACGAGGAGACTCGAGAGCGCGCGAAGCAGCACCTCAACGGGTTCCTGCCATTCCTGCTGCGGCTCTTCTCCGACGACTACGACGAGGTCTGCTCGACCGTGATCCCCGCCCTCACCGACCTCCTTACCTTCCTCCGGAAGCTGGGTCAGCTGCCTCCCGAATACTCTCGTATGCTGGCCCCTATCCTCGACGCCATCATTCGCAAAATGCGCTTCGACGAGACGTCGTCTTGGGGCAACGAGGACGAGCAGACAGATGAGGCCGAGTTCCAGGAGCTGCGGAGGAAACTGCAAAACCTGCAAAAGACCATTGCCGCCATCGACCAGCCGCTGTACATGGACATGCTGAGCAACCTGGTGGCGACGACGTTCCAGTCGCTGGACCAGCGTGGCTCAGACATGGACTGGCGAGACCTCGACCTGGCCCTCTACGAGATGTACCTGTTTGGGGAGCTCGCGTTGCCCAACCAGGGCCTCGGGACCAAGAACCAGCCGTCCAGCGAGGCTTCCGAGAGGCTGGTTGTCATGATGCAGAAGATGGTTGGGTCAGGTTAGTCACCAGCCGCCGCGCAATAGGGCAGGCCGACGGAAATGCTAACAAGCGAACCTAGGCATTGCTAGCTTCTCGCATCCTGCGATCCTGCTCCAGTACATGGAGATTTGCGTGAGGTACTGCGCCATCTTCGAGAGCCATCCGGAGTATATCCCGCAGGTATTGGAAAACTTCGTGCGATTAGTGCATCATGACCACGTTCGTATCAAGACGCGCTCTTGGTACCTCTTCCACCGGTTCATTAAGCAACTGCGATCGCGCGTTGGCAACGTAGCCGAGACGGTGATTCAGTCCATCGGAGACCTGCTCCCAATCAAAGCCGAGGTGCCTGGCGACGACGCCGATGATGACATGTCCTCGGACGAGTCGGACCACTCCGCCGACGCGTTGTTCACAAGCCAGCTGTACCTGTTCGAGGCCATTGGCTGCATCTCTTCGACGCAGAGCACTCCGGCGGACAAGCAGGCGCTCTATGCTCGGTCCGTCATGGACCCGCTCTTCCAGGACATGGAGGTGCATCTCCAGCGGGCCAAGTCGGGCGACGCGCAAGCCGTGCTGCAGATCCATCATATTGTCATGGCTCTGGGTACTCTTGCACACGGATTCTCCGACTGGACCCCGGGGTCCGCCTCCAGCCACCACCCCCCGCCAGAGAAGGCCGTGTCGGACGAGTTCTCGCGCGCGGCCGAGGCCATTCTCATCGCCTTGAACCAGCTCAACTCGTCTGCGGAGATCCGGACGGCATGTCGCTCCTCCTTCTCCAAGCTTCTGGGCGTTCTGGGGTCAGCCGTCCTGCCACAGCTACCCCAGTGGATCGAGGGCCTACTCTCGCAGAGCTCGTCCAAGGACGAGATGGCCATGTTCCTGCGACTCCTGGATCAAGTGGTTTTTGGCTTCAAGTCGGAGATATACGAGGTGCTGAACGTGCTGCTCACGCCGCTGTTGCAGCGAATCTTTGGCGGGCTGAGCGAGCCCATCGCAGGCACGGACGACGAGATACAGCTGGCGGAGCTGCGGCGAGAGTACCTTTCCTTCCTGCAGATCATCCTCAACAACGGGCTGGACGGAGTGCTCATCAGCGAGGCAAACCAGGGTTTCTTTGAGCCCATGATTGCTTCCATCACGGAGCTGGCCAAGTCGATAGAAGGCAATATCGGGCCGAGCAGACTCGCCTTCACGCTCATGGCACGAATCTCGGCTATCTGGGGCGGCCCAGACGTGGCCACGATCTCGCAGAACCCTACCGCGCCCAGCGGGACCCCGACGCCGGCGATCCCCGGATTCGATCGGTTCATGATCGAGCGGTTCCACACGGTGTGCTGGGAGGTGATGCGGAATCCCAGCTTCAGGCCGTCGCAGGACGCGCAGACCAAGCAGGTGTTGACGGAGATTGCCAACCTGGAGCAAACCATCTACTCCAAGACGGGGGACATGTTCATCCAGGAGCTGCAGAACGGGCTGTTCCCCAGCCTGGGGATCGATGGCGGGGAGTTTTTGAGGTCGTTGACGACGTCTACGGACAAGAAGGGCTTTGCGTCGTACCTTCAGGGGCTGTTGAAGAACAGACATTAGCGGCAGGGCGTAGAAGGAGGATCTTAGACGGCGAAACTAGCCAGCCACAAGTACAAGTAGCATGTGAGGAGTGACGACGGGACGACGAGCGATCGAGCTGCGGGAGGCATTGCCCGCAAAATCCATACCACGGCCGTCTGCGGCCACTAGATAGACGTGAAAATAAGAGCACTGATGCAACATAGTACCATGCAGCCTACGTCTATACCGCAGTGCATTATGTCCAGGGTATGGCGGGAGGCGATGTCGCGCTGCTGGCACGTGTGTGAGTGGCGGGCGGCGACAGTCGATCAGACAACGTTGCGGTCGAGAGTGGAGACGCAAGTGGCGCCGCGCACAACCAACCAGCGCGTGTGCTTGAGCATCAAAAGTCCAAAAGGGGCAATCGGGTTTTCTTGCGTGTTATTATCCTTGCCGCGCCGGCCACGAAGGATGCCCTCCACGGCTCTACTCCACAGTGCAGCAGATTTCCTCATTGAAAATGTCATGCACGACATATGAGACGTACGAGTCTAGCGAGTTGATCTGCTCCTGGCTCAGCCTGAGGGCAGACCAGACGTGAAGACACAGTGCCAAGTCGTGCACTGACAGGCGCGAGGCAGGCTGAGCACAATTGCTTTACTCGATTTTCTATTATTGGTCGCCGTGACGGGAACCAGCAGAGCGCTTTTCTTGAATTGGTTTCCTTGTTTACCTCCCGGAATTACATGAACGGAGGGTCTCGTAGGGAGTGACGTTTCGGCTGGAGAGAGTCACGGCGTAACTTGCTCGCCCCGCGAAGGTGCCACGCGAAAGCCTATCGTTGCCCCGGGAACCCACCGGCGGACAACTCGATAGAGCTTGCGCCGGGGCAGACTCTCGGAAGGGTATAAGCGCCACTATTTTTCATAGACGAGGAAGTGATGACGTAGCGAGCCGAGCGAATCGGCTCGATGGGATGACTCGCCGCAGGGCTGGGCAAGCTACATGGCCATGCCCGCCGTCGGGAGAATTTGGTCACACTAGTCGCCAACTCTTTTCTGAGGTAGAAGAAGACAGGCGTCAATGGATGACAGATGCTGCGGCGGGTCGCGGAAGCGCGGCAAGCAAGCTCGACGGGGGAGAGCTCCGCTACGAACGTGGCTGGCGCGCTGGGGGCAGCCGCGGGAAGCACTGCCGTACCTGCATTAGCACAACCTGGGGGCGGGTCTCGCGCAGCGGCGTTTATGCAGGCGCGTTGTATGCAAAACAACGACGAGACCAACAACCGCAGCAGTGAGCGGATGCCCATCTCGCGGTCTGTTTCGACCTTGCAGACTGCTTCATTTCTCTCCCCAATGCTGCAGGCCGAACTACAATCCAAAGGGGGAACACACTACGAGGCAGTGCTGTCAAAGTCCCATGTGAAAATTCAAAATAAGCTCCCGCGCCTGTCCACGAGGAGCGGTCCGAGTCCGAAGGAGGACGCAGACTAACACGGGGTCATTGCGACCCCGCCTGCACTATACCGTGGCCTCGCGAGCTACTCTGGGAGTTACGCGTAGAATGTGAGCACATTTCCACAAGTCCACGAGCTCATTGTTCGCAATGAGGCTTCGAGCTGTGGACTAGCTTCCGAGCTTGGCGTCAATGGAGCTCCTGCCATGGCCACGCGTCGAAGCGCGTCGAGCCCTCCAGGGAGGCCATCGGTGAGGCTGGCCATGGGGTTGCCTTTGGCTTTCGCGAGCTATTCCAAGAATTAAGATCTTCGATGTATCATTAGCTCGTATGCCGGAAATACTCCGTCCGCATGTAGCTTCGCCGCGGGCCCCCTGCCAGAGAGTACTTGCCACGCGTGTGTCGAGCACCATCTCCCTCCCCCCCCGCGGCGCCCCGAGGCTTGGTGGTTGACGAGTCCTCTCGCCCCGGCAAACAACCTTCGGCCCAGTCTTTCTCTTTTAACGTTCAGCCGTATGAATCTGCATCGCGCTGCAGAATTCGCATGGAAGGAAAGAGAAGAAGAGGTGATCTGGATTGTCTATATTATGCCCCCTTTCCTGCCCTTCTTCTCACGGTTCTCTGACCGTGTCTCGTTCCCCTCACGCATACGTACGTACGCTTCGTTGACACAACCCCTCCGAGTGATTTTCTCTTCACTCAACTTTTACCTTCGCGTCTCACTCCGCCTCCCACCGTAAACAAACAACTCTACCGACAGAGCAGCAAGCTCCCCCAACTCGCTTTCTTGTAAGTGTCTCCGTCTTTTTCTTTTTCTCATTTCTGTCTTCCCCCTTTCGCCTTTCCGTCTTCCCTTACCACCTTTCCGTCTTCACTGTTCCCCCTTCCCTCCCCCCCACCCCTCCTTTGCACGTACGCGTGCACGTACGCGTGCGCGCGCTCGGTGTAAGTGTGCGCACTTGTTGCTCACGCGTTTGGCCTCCCCTCTACCAGAAGCCATAACCATAACGACTGCTCAGAAGAGCATATTCAACCATCTGCCAAACTTGGCAGCCTACTTACATACACCACCAACAAACCACACGCCATCGCGCGGTGGTTACAAGTCGCAACAGCGACCGCGTCTCCATGTAAGTGCTACTTCTTCTGTTCACTCTTCTTCTCCTTCCCCATCCAAGACGCCAACGCGTCGTCCCCGTTCACACCGTCCTTTTCTTTGTTCTCTGCTTCTACTGACACCTCCCTCCTCAGAATTCCGGTGGAGTTCGCCCTATAAGAGGAGACCCGTCACATCTCCGTTCAAATTTGTTTAACCAGGCTATAATGTCTGTCTTTGTAAGTTTTTTCCGCAGCAGGCCGTTGTACCGTGTAAACCACTAACACGCTACCAGAACGGTGCCGCAATGAACGGCATGGCCGTCGGCCTGCCCGTCCCAGCCCCAGTCCCCGNCCCCCGCCCCTCGCCCAGTCTTCGTAAGGGACTACGAGCTTCCCGCCAATGCCCCCGGCGAGCAGGGAAAGGAGGTGGCAAAGAGGAACATCCGCACGTGGATGGGCCGCCTGGGATACCCCACCGAAACGGCCATCATCGCCGCCGGCTTCCCGCTCAAGGACGCCATGGACGGGCCGCAAGGATGGCCATTCGAGAGCAGCCTCTGCCTCCGCGTCATCGACGCCATCAACGTGGGCCGCTTTGATCGCGCCTCCGTCATGGACATGGTGCTGCTCACGGCCTGCAGCTCCCGCGGCGATCTCGGCGGGGAGATGAAGCCCAGCCGCACCCGGTCCATCGGCAACATCAAGAGGCTGCAGGCGGCCGTGTCCCAGGCCGTGCAGCAGGACCCGAACCTCTCCTGGCGCCTGGTTCCCCAGTCGGTCGTGTGGCTGGCGGCTGCCCGTGACGGCTTCGACCTCCGCGCCCAGCTCTACATCGCCAACATCGCACTGGTGGCCCCGATGTCCGCGGCTCACTGGCAGCAGATGGTCAACTTCCAGGCCCGGCAGCTGTTCAGCCTCCATTGGGAGATCCTTCAGCTGCGCTTGTGGCAGGACCAGGCCAAGCAGCAGCGCCAGTACCTGCTGAGCATGCACCAGCCTATCCCGCCGAACCTGGACCCTTTGTACGCCATGCACGACCTCGCTCTGGCATATCATGGCCTGGCCAGCGCCTGGACTCCCGGCCAGGTTCCCAATTGGGCCACCCCTGCCCCGGGCCTCGCTCCGGCCCCCGCTGCGGCTCCGGCTCCGGCTCCGGCTCCGGCTCCATATATCCCGGTCATAGATCTCACCTCGGAGACGTCGACCCCGATTCCGGCCCCGGCCCCGGCCCCTGCTCCGGGCCCTATTCCGGCTCCGGTCATAGATCTCACCTCGGAGCCAGCGACCCCGGATCCAGCCCCCACTCCGATGCCGACTATTGCTGTTGGTCCGGCTCCGGCTCCAGCTCCGGCTCTAGCTCCGGCCCCGGCCTCGACCCCTAGTCTGGAGGAGTCTGCTTTCGCACCGAACGTGAATTTCGGCCAGGTCGCCTTCCCCCACCCGGACCTGAGCGACCCAATGGTCAGCATCGCCGGGGCTCAAGCTGCACGCGCAGAGAATGCTGCAGCCGCGGCGGACGCGCCCAGTGCCATGGATCTGGACACCGTCTCTGACATGAACGCCGGCACCAATCTCGACGCGTTCCCGGAAGACTGGTGGACCATGGGTACGGACGAAGTCCTGGACGCGGATTGGGATGCCGTCGCCGCGTCCCTCCGAGAGCCCATCTTCTTTGACGAGGACCCGGCCCCCATCGAAGGCGGCAACGAGGGAGTTGCGGATGTCGCCATGGACGACATCACGGCGGACGCAGCCGCGGACGCACCAGCATCTCCTGCAGGGAGCCTATGGGGCGACGACGACGACGCCAATAATGGCGGCGATGACGGTGCTTCGACTGTCAACGCCCCGATGGTCGCTCTGCGTCCGCCCCCTTCCCCCCTCGCACTCCCAGGCATGCCCGCATTCGCCGAGCCGTGGACCGAGGAGCACCAAATCCTGTTCGACGCTCTCACCGCGGCCATCAACATGGACTAAACGACGGGGATGAAACGACTGGCGGACATATACCCCAGTTCGCCCATGTTCAGTTCAGCTCAAGGGGGGATTGCGACAAGCTTGCTGGGGGTCGAGCCAGGCGACTTGGGGTCCCGATTCTCGAGTTGGAAGGTTCGAGGGGCATTGGAGGATACGAGGGAAGGGCGTTTTTTTTTTTTGGG